GCGCGACAGCAGCGTAATTGACGAGGGATCGTTGCCTCGGGGGCGCGAGTGTGGCGTAATTCACGCGGGATCGTGGCCTCGGGGGCGCAAATGTGGCGTAACTTACGAGGGATCGTGGCCTGGGGGGGGGAATGTGGAACCCACCGCCGAATTTTCCAGAAACCGGGGGGGCAAAAGAATACCAGCGGAGCGCATATCCCAATACAGAAAATTATTGTTTTTCTGCTTTGGAGAGCGCCTTGTCGGCAGCCTCCCTCTCTCTGCTCTGGTGTAGTTCACTTTGGCCACGACCGCAGTGAATATCTTTATGAAGTACTGCCAGCAACACGGAGAGCACTGCCAACACCATATCCTGATAGCTGGGCACTCACAAGTAAGTACCTCCACCATCTCCAGTTCAACGCACTGTGATTCACTCAAGCCAGAGCCGTAGTGAATAACTCATCAGACTACTGCCAGCGGTACCACAAGTACTACCAGCATCATATCCTGACAGTGATACGTCCAAACATTCACCATCACCAATTTAAATCAGACTGTGACATTCTCCTGGGAGTAATCGTAGTCTTTGCCAACTCGGTAACTCGCTTCCCTCATCACAAGTTTGGGTTCACAAGCCATATGTTATCAAGCAAGCAATCCAGATTCATTCAGCATCTGTCAAGATATAACAGAGTACCATACCATGATCAACTGGATACTTCGCATTCTTTGCCAAGAAAAGATAAATACCTGCATAAGACTCACTACCAGAACACATGCACAGTATAACCAAAAGAAAGAATACTCGAGGGGAGGCACGCTCCGTCGCCTTTAAGGGATCGTGCCCACCCGTATGGGCGCTACGGGCCCCCCCCTCGAGAATAGAAAGCCATTGAAGTCCATGAATCCACATACTCAATAATTCAATCATACACCAACTCACTAGGAAAAGCCGTAATAGTTGCCAAGATACTGCGTAGGATACCTGAGTCATGTACTCCATATCCCACTTTACCACCTCAGATTTGCATGTCATCGTTTGCCGCAGATTGCGGCACAAAATTGCTCTTGTCTTCTTTCTGGAGAAACCTGCTTGCAGTGAGTACATTCCAGCTCTTGATCAACTTTGTCTGCACGGAATGGTGAAAGTACATGACATCTGTTGCCAGCAACTGTAGTACGTACGTTATGCTCCTCCATTATTTTATTCCAATCCTCCAGCTTCCGTCGTTGGTCCGTCGGGTGTGGTCCGCGATAGTCATCACGGTTGCACAGTAGTCGGCCCCACGCAGAGATGGTGAATGTTTTTGTCTTTCTCCCACAATTGAGGCACCTCAGAGACGGGGGTTGTTTCTTGCCGCCGCCATACAGTGGTGCCAGCACGTGGTACCCCTGTTAACGAGCTTCTCGATTGTGCAAAATTCTCTTGTCCTCGTTCAGCTTCTCGCGGCCCGTGAGCCCCTGGAGGTCGCGTAGCTCCTGCTCCGTGCACTCCACCGTCGCCCTGACAACACTCGTGGCCGTAGAATGTTGCTCACGTTTGCGATACTCCCCAGATTCACGAGCAACAAAGGCAGCACAGGCCACTAGGTCAGTAGGTCTGACATTGTCTCTGATGTTTGCTTTCAGTCTGGGCGGTGTCCAACATGGTGGCGGTATCGAGGACCATTGTGGTGGTATTCTGATGCCAGCAGCATTCTTCTCCGTCGTTGATAATGCCACGGCATACAGCGTCTTCATCGTGTGATCATGGTTGATGAAGGTGGGCCTGCATTAAAAAACCTGGGACCTGTCTGATCCCCAAAGGCGTCAGTGAACAACATGTTACAAATACTCGTCTGGGTGCCAGTTTGCATTCGCAGAGCTTGGCAACGCGGGCTGCTGCTGTCGAGAAGTACCTCGCCATGCGCTCAAGCGTCGCTGTCTGCGGATTCCCTTGTAGCGTCACAAGAGGCAAACCCGTTGCAATACTGAAATCCAGCGCCAGTTCAGCCCATGATACTGATAAAGGCGCCTTCTTAGTGTCGTCCGTCGCCCAATGCAGCTGGGTAAAATACCAGATGATTGCTGGGAACAACGCTTGTTGATAGCTCCATTGCTTATTTGTTAGTATCTCAGGTAACCTTGGCTGAAACACCCACTCCGCAATATTCGGCTCCACCGGGTCCCACGTGAATCCAGGGAAGGCCATCTTTGGACTCCAGGTGCGTGGGTTATCAAGTACAGGATCAAAGTTGGGAGCTCCTGATGATGAAGCTGCTGTACTCGACGCTGCCCCTGGCAATGCTTCTGCTATTGCGCTGGCTGGGGCCCCAGCTGGTCTCATTGAGCTTGCTGGTGCGGCTGCTGGCGCTGCTGAGCTTGAGGCTGCTGCACTTTCTGTCGTTGCTGTCATTCTGCTCGCTCGGCTTGGCGTCGCTGCTGGCGGCTTGGTCTTGCGTCGTAACCTTCTTGCAGTCATTGAAGGCTGCGGCGCTGCTGGCTGAGGCTCGCTTGGGACTGGCGCTTGCGGCGGATCAGGCTGATATTCTCCATCCTGGCCCATATCGAGATGCGCCCAAGGTTCGTACTCGTCATCCTCGTGTTGGCGATGGTAAGCCTGTTCCAAATCAGCCTCGACGAGGGCCTGGGCCTGCACGCAACGTTCGCCACGCTTGTCCCTGCTCATGCTGGTCAGCCCCTTGGCTCTGCGTTCAAGAGTACGTGTAGCAGTATATTGCAAGAGAAAGCAGAGGTGCTGGTCCTTGAGGTGCTGATGGCGCACCTCCGATGGTACCTGATACTGCCGCGCTGCTCGCACAGCTCCTTGATCTGCTTCCTGATTGCGTTCCCACAATGGTAATTCACCTTCATCAACATTGTTGGCATTGCGA